GTATTGTTTCAAACATATAATTAAAAAAAAAAAATATACAATATTAGGTAAAACGAGTTGATTACGTTGAAAAAAATCACTCTGTATAATTATATATTAAATGTATGTATTAAGTTTCAAAGTTATTTTATATTACACATACAATATTTATTATAAGATTCACGAAAATTCTGGAGTGGAACGGTTTTTTAAACTTCGGTCCGGCCGACAAAACGTCTATACTGTTCGTTTAATCGTTTTAGCATGGTTTACAACAAGTATTTACCCTATATCATGTTAAATACAACGATAAGTATATGTACCTACAGGGCCTCTACAAGGGGGGGGGGGCTGTCGGACCTGGATTTCAGGGGCCCGGCTGTTTTAGGTGCCCCTTGAAATGAGTTTGTAATTTTTACAATTTTGATGGGAATACTTATTTTATGTTAAATGGTAATATTTTATAGGACCCGCGAAAACATGTAGTATACAGCGGCCCAAATGTTGATGTGGGTAGCCTGTGTACCTCGTTCTGACGTTCTGCAGTCGTCCACCAACGACAGCGGCGACAACAGCGCGTCGAAGTCGTGTCCAATACTTTCTAGTGCGGCATTGCTCGTTATGTATCTGTTCATTACGACAGTCAGTGGCGCACACTCAAAAATAAATAGCGGTAGCAAATTGATTCGGTCACCTCTATATTGGCTAATAGACTAATGGTTATAGCCTATAATTATTCAATAGTTTATTTTCAATATTTTTATACGTAATAGAATTTTCATGATGTAAATATTTTGGGACCAGGGGGTCCACCCACCCACCTACCAAAAAAATCAGGGGTAGCAACTGCTACCCTTGAACCCTCCAGTGTGCGCCACTGACGACAGTTCAACTTTCGGACCTAATCTGACTAGCCCATCATGCGGAGAACACTACCAAATTATACATCGATGGTGGCGCGCTAAGATTCTATAGTAGGTACAACTCAGAGACTCTAGACATACTGGCACCAACATACGTACAAGTCATACAACTATAGTTATATTTCATATCATATTATTGAACTCAGTATTTTACTCTCCGTGCGGTCGTGTTGTACAGCCGGATTCCGTTCATCGCGAGAGTAGGTTAAAATCGTATTTTATCGAAACAAAATAATGTAGAGAGATTATGTTATTAATATAATAATATTATCTTGGACCACATGATAAAATATATGTATAATATTATAATAATATTATATTATAATAATAGTATATGTACTCATAAATAAAAATATTTTCAAAAATGATTAAACTCTTATTCACATTTATACTCATTTTATATATACCTACTAAACATCGGTTTTAAACTTTAAACTCATCCCCCACCGCTATGAATATTCTGCTAGATTGTTATGTATAGTTTTAATATAGTGTATTCTATGGGTCTACGTACCTATTTAAATTTGGAGTGGTTCGATTTTTTAGTAACAATCATAATACCTGTCGTTTACAGTTTACGGATTGAGTTTAACGTCATTATATTACCAACTAACACTATACAATAGGTAAAAGTATTGAAAAATAACGAATCACTGTGGTGAGTAGGTACGCATAACTGTATAAGGTATGGATTGTGATGAAAAATAGGTAAATATAACGATAACAATTATTTTTAATATGTACAGGTACCCGATTATCCTAATTATTATTAAACATGTTCAAGCGAGTCGTTAATTTTTAAACTGAAAAATACTTAAACGGTTAGACAAAATAACGACAGGCGATGAAATTTAAAAATCATGGACCGTTAGGTATAGTGATAGTAACACGTATAGGCCCCATATTTGAAAAAAGAACATTTAAAACAATGAATAAAATATAATATAACATTATAATTAAAGTATGGATTTTAAAGATATTTAATTTTTTGCATCTACAAGTTCAGAATGATGTCCAATTAGCTATAAATTTGATTCATATAAATACCTAATGTAGTGTAACGTAATAAATATAGGGTAAATAGTAGGTGCATATAATTTTATTTTACTTTTTTGGGCTGATTTTAGATTTTATGGAATTTGTTATTTTTGTGTTTTAATATCATTTTAGAGATTTAATCAACTTTAGTGTATTAATTATTTTTTTTCTCAATCTTTCAATTCAGCTTTATCAGTTGACGTGAAACTTAGTTTTTCCAAATACAAACAAATTGTAGTGTCTTATTGTCGACAAAGATTTTTGTTTGAAATATTAAAAGATTAAAAAAAACTTTGATCGTCCAATGCAACTAAGAAGTAAGAGGATACGTGTAAGTAAATTATTTAGTAAGTAGGTACTATTATTTTATTAAATGTACAGATTAATCATTGAAATGAAAAATACTAGTAACATTAATTAGTGTAAACATAATATTAGTAATAATTAATAAACTAATAAAAAAATCTTAAAACTGATTTTATAATTAATTGTTTTAAGGATTCTTATAGCACAATATTCTTTTAGCCTTATTTTAAATGCTTTTTCAATAGTTATGTATTTATTTAAAATCCGTACTCTGATTATAATATAAATTATATTATATTATATACATGATATAATATCATTTAATCAATACCTACCTAACTATAAGTATGATGGGGGTTGCTAGTTCTTAAAAAATAATTTTTATTTAAAGATTCCAAACAAAAAAACCGTATAAAATATGTGTTATCGGGTAACTTATCATAATATTATATTATTATTTATAAATAAGTGTATTTTTATTTACAGTGAAAAGTATTAATGATGGATGCGAAATGTGAAAAATGTAATTTATTATAACCATAGTTTGTATTAAAACTTTTACTTCTGGTTCAAAAGTGACCGGATGTAATAGAATTTATATAGGAGGACGGACGATACATGAGATGAATTTTTATATTAAATTGGGCAAATTAAAACGCGTAGCGAACGAATGACAAGGATTGAAAGGGACTATAATTTTCGGGTTTTTCGGACTGAGTTATTATTATTAGACAAAGATATAAAGATACAAACCGCGATGATCTCGAATTACCATAAACATAATCTCATTATTATTGTGGTGTAATCGTATTCAGCTTGTATAGTAATTTTGTACAGGCGTATATACAGAGCGATTCTTTTATCATCATTGCACAGTAATTTTTCCGGTAAATTTCTGTTTTTTTAAATAATTTTTTTTTTTTTTTTTTATCAAGAAGACTTTATAATGTGTGAGCAAAAGCATATTTTAAAATTCACAAACGTTCACCGAGAAAACCATTGTGAGTTGATAAAAGTACCACCTCGGTACCTATTATAGGGGAGCGTATACTACCTGTGCCGTCGTATTGTACGGGAATTAAAATAAGAGAAAAATAACAAAAGAGGACGAAAACCTCGAGCGGTGGTACGTTTATGCGTTTAAGCAGTGTAATGCAGGGGATAGTCAGCGGATTACGTTTTCTCGGTGTATATCTAGCATATATTTTATACAGAGTGATTAATCACACACGCTCACCACTGTTTGTTTTCCATGAGCAAACAATGATGCATTTATTCAAATTATAATTCTTGTAATTTTCAAGTATACTTAAGGACCAACAACCTTAAATCGTTAAATACGTTAAATATTATTGAGAATAGATGATTATTTGGAAAATGTTTATGAATAATACCTGTCTAAATTTAAATTCAAACCAGTAGTTTCTGAGTTATTGAAATTAAGGACAACTTCGGATAATAGTCCCCAATAATGGCTTTAAAATATATTTATATATAATATAGTATTATAGACTAGTATTTATATTAGACTCGTTCAATTATAACAAATTATTAGTAGATTCATTTAAATATATATAGTTAATAATTAAAATCATCATTACTACTATAACTGGTACCTCATTATATTACATCTTCCAAACTTATCATAATATACCTATCTATATTATCCTTAGCACATACAATAATAGTCGAATAATTCAAACTGCTATACTATACTACCTAGTTCGAATTTCGATTATATATGAGAATATGATTCAACAAGATGTTGAAATAACCATTTGCTTAACGTTTTATAGTGAAAAGAGTTAGTCCATAATATATTATGAAAAATTAATTCTGCATTCACGACGCTCCTCGAGATCTAAAGTATCTATTTGAAAATATCGTCTTTATAATATAACAACTTAATAGTATACTAGAAAACGTCAAAAATCATAATTTGAATAAAACGTGTATTATTAGAGGTCGGCAAACCGCTCCGTATAATTGTTGTAGAGCCCACGCGCTGTTTGTACGAGTATATTATTATGACGCATAATAATACAGTTTATATCTGTACTTGCGAGCGGGATCGGTCATGTGGGTTGGGACAATGCTGTGTGCCGGAGGGGTTTACAGTGAACGTCCGTTGTCTTTGTCGAGACGAGAAAAAAAAAAACGGAATTCAAACAAATGGAAAAACAAAAAACGAACGTTGGGCCAAATGCCCGACATTGTTTGCGTCTTCCACGCACATAACAATATCATTCCGCAGCCGCCGCCGATGTTGTGTCCCATGTCATTATAGTGGAATTAATATCCGTCGGATAACACGGTATAGGTACGGCCTATATAATAATATACCGCGGTAGATGTATCATACCGACGACATGCCGCCGCTCGCAAGTCGTAGGTACTCGCCTGCAGAGAGGTTCGTGTGCACGAGGTACGTGCGGCCGCCCGTCGTAGCGCGAAGCTTTTGCTGAATTTGTTTTCTTTAATATTTCGTCGGGGAAAAAATACACGCGCGCTGCACACGCTGCGGAGTGGGGGCCGCGACGATGATAATATTTTCAATTGCGATGGTTATTATTATTATTATTATTATTAGTGCGCGGGTGTAACGGAGTCGTTTTTACGTGGAGATAGTGAGATGGGTGGTATAATAATATTGTTATATAGGCGCGAGTGTCGTCCGCGGCTGATCGCATGATATTCCGTCTTTCGGGTGTTGCTGTTGTGGCGGCGGCGGCGCGGGACGGTGTGTTATTTTATTTAGTTTTGCAAATAATACGGCCAATACAGCGCGTTGAACGCTATGAACGCGACCGGGAACAGCAGTCTGGAGTATTCGTCGATCTTCCTCGCCAGCACCGTGTTGGTTTCCGCGGACGTCGAGTAGGCGCACTCTTGTTGTAAGATCTTCTTGACCTGCCCAACAGAGCACACACCGCGAGCATTAGACATATTATATACATGGATTAATGTTATTAGATTATATAATATTATTATGTAGGTGTTGTGTGTGGTGGGTAAAACCGTCGGGTCGACCGAAGAGGGTGGTCGTAGCCGAGGTGGACCAGAAACGATGTTCGATCCAGTGGCAGCTATGTTGTGGAAGGGCCCCTAACGCAAAGAGCCCTGGTATTTTTTTTTTTTTTTTATTTATATCTTATAATATTATTTTACATTTTGTACAGTTAGGTAAGATTGTTTTTTGCATTATTAAGTTAATTGGCCGAGCGTTAAATGTACTTTTGTTCTGTGCTTTACTTCGTGAACTTAAAATATACTAATATTAATAATCCTATTAGCTACGAATATGAAATGTTACGATTAAAATTCCACCAATATTGTTCAAATAACAAAAAAAAAAAATAATAGCAACATTTTTTTTTTCATTTTCCATTTTTAAAATGTAAGTATATTATACTATATTGTTAATAATTTACAGTTCAAGTCCATCTCTTAAGTAAATTTAAATTTTGTGTTTATGTTATTATCCAAACAATTAAAAATTTAGTTAAACAAAATTAACTGTATTAGGTAATAATTATATACCATTGTATAATATGTGTAAGACGTTTTAACTATTATAAGAAAAATTTCAAAAAAAATATGAAGAAGCATATAACCCCTCAAAAGTTTCATATCCTCATTTCAACCCCTTTCAACAGGTACAACTGCCACTGGATTAACCACCTATATATAAGCATATCATGATGTGTCGATGTATGTAGGTCTTATCAGCTATACGGTGAGAAGGAGCTGTTAATTTAAAAGTGAGATCAAACATTTTGCGTACGCTAGTATGGTAAAAAAAATTCCCTCCTCAGAAACATGTAAATAAATTGCGTGACAGCTTTTTTTTCTTTCATTTTTTACGTATTACAATAATATGTATACGGTGGCCGGTGTTTTAAAATTGACACATTTCGATGTTGTCGAGTAATACAAAATAAAATTTTTTCATAAAATACCTAGTATACATAGTATAGTATTATAGGTACCTAACTATAAATCCAAAAAATCTGCGATAGGTATATGAGTGATTTAGAAACTTACCAAGTAATTTACTTTCAGAACTCAGAAATAAAAGTGCGTTAAGAAAATATGTGTTTTCTACGAATGAGATTTATATTATAATAAATATTATGATAGGGATCGCGATATACACTGTCCCAAAGATCACATCGACCATTTTAATAATACATATCGTCATAATATAATGTGTTTGATCAACAACTATTTTGTTAAACTGTAATTACCACGCTGACTGGTATGACCGGCGACGAGGGTAGATTTTCGTCGTACGGTTTTGTGCCCGCGGTGCCACCGTTCACCGGTTCTGTTAATATGTTTCGCAATATGTCTGGCCTTAGTTTTCTCCACATATAGTTGACGACTGTGAATTCTAGCAGTGCGCAAAACACGAACGCTGCAAAAATACAAACCGAATAATAGCAAAGGTTGAAGTTCTGGGGATGAGGCGGGGAAGGTTGCAACCTAGGTGGATGTAAAACGAATGTACAGGTATTTATTACACATTTAATAATAATACATATTATGCAGCTATTATTATATTAAGAGAAAACTACGCCCCAGTGGTGAATGCAAGGAGAAGGGTTGGGTTTCAACCCCTCCCCCAGAATCGGCAAATGTACGTTATTTCAGTTCCCGTTCAGCTTCGTTACCTTATTAATATTACAGAGAATCTACATTTTATCAAACCAAAATGGTAACGACAATTTTGTCACTACAGTGTTATGAATCATGTATTTTTAAATCGTGAATACTGTAATAGTTGAAAAAAAACACTTCCAACATGGAAACATCATAACTTATGACGTTGCCATGTTGGAAGTGTTCTTTTTAAAACTATTACAATATTCAAAATTTAAAAATATCTTGACCAGGGCCGAGATTAACATAGGACTAGTAGAAGCTTTTGCTCCAGGGCAGAATATTTCTTTTGATGTTTAAATATATTTTTTCCCTATGTTTAATCGAATAGTAGTAGAGGGTATGGATGTTGAATAACTCTATATTTTTATACTTAAATTTGTTTATAATCAAATTGTTCTAGGCTCTGTTCATAAGTTGCTTCAAAATTAAACTATCGACAAAAAACCTCTAAAACCTAAAATAAAAACCTTAAAATAAATATTTTACAATGTCGTTATACGCACTTTGTATAATACGGAGATATCGAATTCGGATGTGTCATCCTTGAGTGAGAATTAAAACAAAGGTGTGGAACGTCAGGAAAGTATAATTTTCTTTGTGAGAAGTAAGTTTATATTTGACCAGTGAAAGTTACAAAATAATTCAAAATATTTTTTTTATATATTTTATTATTTATATTTATAAAATTAAAAATGTATGATCTGACCATTATTATTGGATATAATTAATACAATTAATCACATAGATGTCAATAATATGTAATATATTTATATAAAATGAATTGCTGTTAGTTAGTCTTGCTAAAACTCGAGAACGGCCCTACCGATTTGGCTCAATTTTTTTTTAAGATGTTCGTAATTGCCAGGAGAAGATTTATACGAAAGAAAATATTAAATAATTAAATAACAACACTGCTACGAACATTATACTTTGATTAATATTGCAATATTTTTCATAACGAGTCAAAATTTATTAGAAAACATGATGCTGGAAACCATAGAGTTACGTAATATGGATGCTATTCTCAAATTTCAACTGATCAATTTATTAGACATTAACGATGGCTGGAAAAAAGTTATGGCTAATGTAACTGTTGACTGTGACCCAAACAAACCGTTGATCACATAAAGTAATATTTATTTTGGTGTTCATCTTACCTATTATTTACATTTATCACATAATTGTTCTAGGTTAATAGAAATTGCAAGCTAAACACAACGACAATTGTGTAGTGCAATAGTTTTTGAAGAATGGGGAACTAAAGTGGCAATATTAGGCCTAACCTCAATATACTTATGGATCTGTTATTCGAATTAAAACTAATACGAGCTGCTGAGTGTGTACTGTGTAGCTTCTAAAATCATGATCGGTAAATCAAAAAATAACATGACGCTTAGACTGTAGACTTAGAGTTAACTATATAAAATGTAAATGTTATATTTCTAGATAAACCTATTGTCAGGTTGGAAGCAACTATGAACTTTTTTAACATTGATGTATACTGCATGGATAATGATAATAGTGAAAATTGAAAGTCTACTTTGTTTGCTCATCAGCTAGAAACCAGATCAACTTAAATTATGATAAAAATAGTAATTAAAACAATAGTTTTTACATTTTGAAGACGATGGATCAATTTTCATTTACACTGAGTAAGAGCCAGGAGGGGTGGTTAGGCCTACCGGGATACCGGACTTTCCTTCTTCCCTTTCAATGATGAAAATTTTTTTTAAGTTGGGGTCCATAAGAGCTTTTAAATTTTAAGACCTAAGTTTTATCTTAAAACTATGTAATAAAATTAGTATAGTATAGCTACAAATAATAAATTGTTATTAGAAACATAATTATTGTTAATGATTTTTATGTCTGATCGTTTTATTCATTACCGCAACAAGTACAATTTATATAAAACTAGGCACATGGTAAAACCTGATACAACAATAATATACTATTTAATACAACCAACGATAACATCACAAATAATTCGCAAACACATCACAACATTTTGTTAAATGGGATAATAAAAAATTATCTCTCATTTATGACACAAATTTAACTATTACTGTCTATTAGTGAAAATGTACAATCTATACGGAATAAAAAAAAAAAATAGATAAGTTGTCTATGAGACAGTAGATAATCCTATGACTGACCCACTATTGTCTTATGAAATAGATTAGTTCAATATAATAATAGATATTGGATACGATTACTAACAATTTTTAAAAAAGGTGGGTAAGTGGATGTCTCTCTGTTGTACAGTAGGTTACAAGTGGGTCACTGTATAATGGATGGTATTAAATTTTATCAAGTATAGGGATTGATAAAGTAAACATATTATGATATAAATCTCAAGTGTTTACGGTTATTCGTTTTTGTATTACAACAATATATGAAAATCGCTACATGAGAAATCGAATGAATATCCAATGTTATAAATATTTGGACTTCAAACGATCATAAAAATTGACATTTTTTTTTTTTTTTTTGATAAAGGTAGGGTAGATAACCTTATAAGGAATCTTGTATTACCTACATTTTAAAATCTTAGATTTAAAAAGAAAAATTTTTTGGAATTTCTAACTCAAAATAATTTACACATTTTCGTAATTTGTACGCCTTTTGTCAAAATTTGAACTTAAAATGCTTATAAAAAAAATTGTTGACTATGGATTTTTTAAACTTTTCAAATGTCATTGTAACAATATACTAAGAGCCTTGTATTAAATTTTCAAGCTTTTTTATCCGACAAATAAAATTTGATTGACATTCATAAGAAAAAAAAAAAACTGAAAATATCCTTAAACAGTTCAAAACAAATCAATATTTTTTGAAAATTGTATCGTGTATAGAAAATGGTTATATAAAAAAATCAGTGAAAATGTCATGTATCTACAGTTATTTGTTTTAGAGTTACACCAAAAACCAAAATTGATTTTGGCGAAAATCAATCTCGGGTAAAAATTTCAGTTTTCCTTAATTTTTCTTACTTTTTCCTCGCGCTTTCGAAAACTTATAGGAATTTTTTACTTTTGACCCCCCAAAGTACCAACTAGATTCACTTTCCTATCAGAAAAAATTCTGTTAAAGAAAATCTAAGCATTTTTACTGTCCTAAAAGGTGATGAAAGACACACAAAAACTCGCACATCATTGTAAAATCAATACATTCATCAGAATGTATATTTAACAGAATTTAAAATGTATTGTACGAGACTCCGCGGTCGAGCTCGGCATTTTATATTAATTTAAAAAAAATATTCTAATGCGGACGTATACACCATCGAATAGCGTTTGATTAATCAATTATAAGTACTATATTAAATTATTGATGTGCATAGGTGGCACCCGTGTTTACACACTGTCAAATTGTATTGTACCATACCTGTACAAGTGCCCATCCACACATCTATAGCCTTAACGTAGCTGACTTGTGGCAGACCACTTTGGATACCTGTGGAAAACACACACAGAACGTCGAAAAGATTAACAAAACTGAAATTGGATATTGGTATTGAATAATCAATATTCCAACAATAAAATCATAATATTGTTCGGTCAATTGTATACCACGACGTACCCGAAGATTGCGAACCGACGGCCAGCAGCGTCGTCACTCCCAGCGTAGTCCGGCCAGGCACCGAGTCGACATCCATCCAAAACGACACCCAGGAGATGACCACGATCAGCATGGTGGGCAGATAACTCTGGACCAGATGGAAACCCACGCTACGGCTCAGGTAGAACTGGGCCACCAGACAACTGTAATTGCCTAGAAAAATAGATATTTTATATTTTTATTACGATTACGACACCTTAAAAGACGCTTAGCTCGAGTGATTTAATATTATAAATTACACATATTGATAACAGGTTCCTATAGAAATTATTAATATTAATTAGTAATTATTTTTTGAATTTTCAATTATACCGCTTTAAGACAATATATTTTCAAATACTTAGATTTTTCTAAAACGTTTAGAGAGGAGTGTCCTATGTCGATATAAACTTCCTTTTTCTAATTGAAAATTACCTTTTTTTACTGTAAATTGATAAGCAGATGACTTTTTTAAAAATGGAGATGTATACATCAATACTTATCTAAATTGAAATTTGAACGAGTAGTTTTTAAGTTAATTAACTTTGGGCGCTAAAGATAGGTCCATGATGAAAATATTTTTGTATGTTGGATTATTTAATTGATTGGAAGATAATATTAATCCATCATAATTTTTCTAACCTGTAAACATTGTCTGAGTGTAATTAGTACTAGATTCAAAAGGTACCTATATTGGTAAACCTATTTTATATTTGTGTAAATCCATTATTAAGGACTCTTATCTTTAGTCCATCCATTTAAATAATACAGAAACTAATGTTTGCGATTTTGATACTTCAATATTTTTAAAAATAATAATCAGCTTAGCAATCATAATAAATTAAGTAAAAAAGATTATTGCTCTTTTGAACAAAACAAGTTCATAACGCAGCAGGATACTCCTTAAATGCTATATAAAATTTAAATATTTGTTGATATTGTCCTTAAATACACTTGAAAATTTAAAAATCAAAATCCATTATTAAAGAAAAATATGTGGTTGAGCATACTTGGTGAATAATCTAGTATATGTAGTAGAAATACTTAATAATATAGCCTCGACGGTTACCGATATTATTATTTATGTTTGGAACAATCTGTACCCATGTCAGTTTTTGACCTCAAACGTCTAACAAATCGTTATTAAACGCCATACTACACTACTATAGGTACATAAAGTGCAGTGAATATTTCATTTTTATACTCTGTGCAAAGGATTCGTCGAAATATCATGTGATATCGAACCACATTATATAACTTTAAAAAACAAAAAATAAACATAAAAGGTAATAATATGAATACAGCATGGTATATACCGTGGTATCAGTGTATAACATATATTATTATACCTATATAACAAGAATTATGATCCTTGAAGTCTTACAATACATTTCTTGAACGATAACAATAAAATATAACGGTACACATAAATAGAATATAGATGGCAGGGCTTAGCCTTTAAGTTTGAATTACAATTAATCTTGTGGCTTTAAAATGTCGAATTATTATTACAAAACGAGGGCCGATTTTCAGTTTTATCCGAGTTGTATTATCTTATAATTTAAAATAAGTCAAAATCTGTAATAGGTACGACGTAAACGGCATAATCATAATATTATGGTTGACTATCCGGACTATAAAACTCAGTTAGTCAAATGTGTTTATCAGGATTCATAGGCAATAATAATAATTACTCCGGCAAATTTTTCCACCCTATTTAGATTTTTAAGTATTTTCATATCCTTAGATTTTTTTATACCATTATGAAGGTGTGTCCCTTGGTGATTCAAACTGATTTTTGCAAACGATACCCACTCTTTTTTCAGTATCTGATTGAAATATAAATGTGATGTATATAAATGTGATGTTAATAAATACAAATCGAAATTCAAATTAGTTGGTAAGCTTTGGGTCCTAAGAATAATAATCCCGATTGTGCATATTATATAAAACAAAAGCAACATTTAGTTTAGTATTGATTACACACAGACAATTTTAAATTCTGTAAAATGTTAATAGATTAATATATTGATAAATAATTATGTACTATATTTTCAAATTATCATAGCCTCATAATTATCCAAACGTTTAGTAGGTACACAACTTTAGAATGTATCATCAACATTTTCAACAAAAAAAAAAAACAACTCCCCGACAACATCTTACAATAAAAACGGATGTTTCTCAATTGTAAAAAATAAAGTTTGCATTGCCCTGCAGAACCAACATATTAATAAAAAATACCAACATTATTAACTTTGGAAAAAATGGAGACTGATCATGGTCGATGAATCGCCTTGTATAATGCACTTAATTACACTTCAGCGGTTTCATTTGTCATTTCGTCCACGAGTCCAATGTCAGGAGGAATCCACAAGAGATTGATTAATTGGTGGGCGCCTGCATATTGTATAAATAGACGTGTAGCAAACCGGCTACGGCGTCGCCTAGCTCAAGTAGAGTCTGCAGCTGTACGGCACTTTATATCGGAGAGCGTTTGCCTGGCAATATATTATATCGCCTGCAGAGGCATAGCGTTTATAATTATCGTTGTACGTTAAACCGAAGATTATTTCGTTTCCCCGGAAATCTTAATTTTCTCCGTAAACGAGAGTGCTTATTTTATATATTCTACAACACTTTCCATTTAATGTTCTGAATGCGCACTAAGCCTTCTGACCGTGAATGTTTTCTATTGTCTACGCATGGTTGGGATAGGAGAGATGAAAATAATCAGAAAATAAAAATTGCATTTTTAGATTTTGCAGAGCGGAGCCAAGAGTGTATTGATTTTGCAACCATTTGTGGTTTTTTTATTTGTTTATTTTTGTGTCTGAATACACTTTTTCTAGTTAAAATGAAAAGCTTTGAAGGACGTTTCTAGTAAAGAATGGATTCTAGTTGGCCCTTTTGTCTTGGGGAGGGGGGACCCCCCGTCAATATTGAACATTTTCAATACTTTTTAAAACGATCTGGTAAATAAAAAAAAAATACTAACATTTATTAAGATTTTAATATTATATTATTACTAGCTGATCCCGCGCACTTGGTGGTCCGTAGAAAATGACTACCCTTTTGGGTGTAACTCGCTGCAGTAAGTGCAACTCAGCCACCTTCGTAAGTAATGTGTGAAAATTCTATTTGATTAACCAATGGCAACCAATAATAAATACTATTTATACTAATTATTTCTCCTATAACTAATAGTAACCATTTACAAATAAACATTTCCACTGTAAATCGAAAAATCCTTGTTTGAGCACCTCCCTGGGCTCCCTGGGTTCCTATCGGTCATAGCGTGGTGTTATATAGCCTTCCTCGATAAATAGACTAACCAACACAAAACTAATTTTTCATACCGAATAAGCAATTCCTGAGATTAGTGCCTTAAAAAGAACAATCTCTTCTTCAGCTTTATAATATTAGTATAGATAGTATAGATTAAAATAATTGCAGCTTTGTAACCTTGGTTACCAAAAAGTTGGACCACCTTCGCTCAGAACCTCTTTTCATCGTATACAACGATTTATCATTGGGTTTAAATTTAACATATCCATTACAGTGCATACTCAATGACGTGGTATACTCGACATCTTCTGTATACCAAAGTGGTAACCTACTTGACGGTTTTTATTCTCCTTAAGAGGACGCAACGTCACACCCGCCACACCCGCAAGTGTTGTCTCCGTCTTACAAGTGCACGACATAGCAAATATACATTCAGCAGATCACGTTTAGCTCCGTGAGTTTAAAAATTAGAGTGAATGGACTTATTATGAAACTTGATGGTAAGAACGTTATCTGTGTTCGTATGTTGGTTTTTTTACGATAGTTTAATTTTTTAGCAGTTATGCGTATACAATATAGCTTAAATTAAAAATTCTATACACTCTAATGTTTAAACTAACTGAGCTAAACGTGATCTGATGAGCTTAAATTTGCTACTTAACGCACTTGGAAAACGGAGACAACACATGCGGGTGTGCCGTTCTCTTAAGATCTATACGAAATCAATGACGATCGATTAATTAATAAAGGTGATAATAAGTAGGTACCAGTTACTATTAAAACAAGTCAGGCTTTGTCAGACCATTGGGTTTTATTATTTCCAGGGGTGAGATATATTTTACTCAGACGAGATTTGAATTTTATTGTCAGTGCTCACAGTCAAAAATACTAACGGGACTTCTCCCGGGTTAACAAGTTATTTTTTTATTCACAAATTGATGCTTGGGAGTATACGACGTATTTGTATTTATACTTTATGGAAGCACTACTTAATATACATATACTGGGCGGTTGTTTCAACAGTAAACACTCATTATCTCTATCTCGAAGAGTATAAACGTTTTAGAAAATATTTATTTTACATCATTTAAAGTCAGTATTTTTTACCAACTTTTAGTTGTTATCCGTTTTTAAGATTTATTTTATTTAAAAAACAATGTGCATTTTTATTTTTATATTCTGAAGCTGAATATTATTTTTCTGCTTGTTTTGAAGTTAAGATGCGTGGAGTGGAATGGTACAATCCGGGATACCCACCACGTAAATTGTTGGTTCACTACTTTAAAAAGAATACTTTAAAAAACTTTCCACTTACAACTACCTTCTAAAATAGTCCAAAATTCAATTTTTATACATACTAATCTTCAGAATTTAAACAATTAATATTTTCGAAAAATGTTTATTGTTTGAGATAGTTAGCGTTTACTGTTAATTATCCAGTATAATATGTATATTTACCTATGTATTATATTCATTATGTGTAATATAAATAATAAATAAAAATTGTATATTGTTTATTTATATGTCAAATTTACTAATTGAACATAAATACACCGATGTAAATACATACAAAAAAGGTATAATTAGTACTAAAATAAGCAACAGACTTGTTTTTATGATGCATTATTATGATTTGAGTTATTTTATTCATATTGAAGAACCACTCTCTTGAAACATTTTTCACCCTTACAATTATTTATTTATTTCTATTATTATTCGTAGTAGGTACTTAACAGTATAATGCTGTTATTTTTCAAAATGAACCCTTTTTTAAAATAATTAAAATAATTTTAATTGAAAATGTGTAGGTATACCCACCTAAAACCGTACTAATCATCAATTTTTCTTTTTTTTCTTTCGAATGCATATTGTATTTATTTATTTATTTATTTATTTTAACGATGTAAACAATGTACTTAGACCAAAAATGCATTGCTTAAAAAAATACAATTAAAATAAATTGTGTAAATCTATTCAGTATTCATATACAACTTTTTTCGATCACTTAAAAAGATAATTTCGAAATATTGTAATTATGATGCATCGGTATGTTATGTTATGTAGGTAGAGGACGATGGTTGTTATCATGTGTTGGATGGGTAGTTGATAAATAATAACTATACAGTTATATTCAAGAGGCTTATTATTTTTTTTTTTAAGATATATGTTAAGCAATTAAAAAAATGATTAAAGTTACTCAAAGTCTTCTGGAAAATCATAATGTGTAGATTATTATTATTATGTCACAGTATTGTTGGTTGTACTGATTAGATCAGATGGTTGTGAAGTGGGACGTTGTTGAAATAGACAGAATTTTACTCTCTGTACTCCTCCTATAATTTATCAAATATAGATGCATATAATATATGTATTATGTATAGTAGTATAATATTGATTTGATGGTTGTTGGTTAACCCAAATTAGAATTTATTAGATGGCATTCGGTTCAATTAAGAAATATAATACACAAAATATATCGAGTTAATGTCATGCGTTATGCCTACTTGAAAATCAAAAGTTCACCTTTTTGAAGTGCTGTTCCAATAATAATAAAGAAAGTAACATATTTAAGAACGATAGGTAGTAAAACATATATAGGTTAAAATTTGTATAAGGGAAACGAAAACAAAATTAAAAAAAACACAATTAAAGTTGAAATTTTCAGAAGTAACCGCGGGTTTATGTAGTTAATAAATCATGCTGACGCCCATGCGGTATGTTATATTCATTTCACGTTTTATAATTTGCTTGAATAATTCAGGTGCCGATCTAAATTAAACGGCTACCTACTTGAATGTTTTTTTATAATTTAAAAAATATGCTTTTTATATTTAGGTATCGTGATAGGTAAGTTAATTGTATTTTGATTTTTATCTCTACAAAAGTATAAACATTACCTACGTTGATATTTTTACGTATAACAATATTCTGGAATGCTGCGCTGTGCCCTCAGGTATTTAAAAAAACATAAGGCAAATTAAAATTATTATTTTTGCTTAATGGAGTTCTCGTTTCACTTGTTGAAAAATTGAAGCTTATATAGGTCCATTTTTTTCTATAACAGATGTCCTGAGGTTAGCACTATGCGATACATAATATACATAATTTAGTTTGAAATTGTTTTTAATTATTAAATAAATAAACAAAAAAAAGGAAAAAAAAAACGCTGAACTCTATTTCATTTTCAGGCAGGTACGACGTGCTCCGACGTCGGGACACGATGATAGTCGTTATTTTGAATTTTCACATACAACTCGCTGAATATTAATACAGCCAAATGTTGTACCGTTTATCATTGGATAAACGGCGAGTTAAAAGTTTTGTAATTTATGGATAAATGTACTGCAGTTCAAACACGAAAACAACACAATACATCTGCGTGCAAATAAACAACGTACAATAATATTATATTGTTTTTCTAATATAATATATTATAGTACCTATCGTTACGCAGATCGCACGCGGTTTACCGCATCACGACATCGGTCGAGACCTACAAAGAACTGAGCTGAGCGTGCTGAGAACCAAAAAAAAATTTTCACGAAACGATAAACCTATTTGTTCATAACTACGCACAATATTGTGTCGTATACGCGTGTCGAATAAAACGTCGTTGCATTTTGACAATTTATTTTTTGCGTGTGTGCGCTATAGCTGAAAAGTTTTAATCGAGTAGACAACATTATAATACTATATATCTATTGTAATATCGCATAACGTGAGAAATATTTTATTCTTTGGTGCGATTTCTTCTGGAATATTCGCGTGAAAACTATCAGGTACCCGGCCGTTTCGGCGGCAGTCGGCCGGGCGTAAAATGTATTTAAATACGAACGTCCCTGCTGCTATTAGTGAAATGCACGAGAGATAATGCCCAAGAGACTTAACATGAATAATGGGCGACCCTTAGCGTATTGTGTGTACACGCGTTTCCGTTTTAAGTTCATTCGATCGTAATGTGTAGTTACTATTTATCTGTAATTTAATTTCGAATAAAATTATTCGTCTTAATTAACGTTTGCTCCGAAACTTATATGGTTGTATTAAACTGTTTGGTTAAGAAGGAGTGCGCCGCGATGATGTCTCCCTACGTAACAACACTTTAGTATATTATCATATAATATGTACACCAAAACGAAGCGTTGCCGAACGGTAAATCAGAAAACAACAACAGCATGTGCACTTGTGCAGTTATGTTTACACCGTATACGTACAACGAATCGTTTATACAACGGCGTTTTAAATTATACGCAAAATAATATATACCGACCGCGGATTGTATATTATCTCCCAAAATTATGCGACTTTTAAATTGCCGAATTTATTATCTAATAGAGGGATTTTTATAAATATTTTTTCTGGTCACGCGTTACTCTATGCGCGTCACTGCTGTAACTTATAAATCATAACAATAATATAACAGTAGAAACAAAGATTACGTCTCTGACGCTAAAAATCACATCTTTTTTTACGTATTTTTATTGTATGTGGGCTTAGTTTTTTAGTTTTAACAACCATGTTAATTCATTATTTTTTTTATGTATACTTAATGCATGCTACACTAATATGGGTTTTATGCTTATTTGAATGTAAAAACGAGTTGGTAAGCTTTTGTATTGATTTTAGTATTTTAAAAAGCACAATACAGCAGAACGGTTTGTAGGGATCTGTATAGGTACTGTAGGTATACAAATATTAATAATATTCTTCAGCAGACATAGTTTTAACGCAAGCAATGAAGTTATCAATGTAAGAGTTAAGTTTTTCTAGTTTTTGTTCACACATAATGCGGTATGTAAATTTTACTATTTTTAAATTCACTTTATTATTGTCATATTCATGACTCCCCCCCCCCCCCTAACCGAAATTTGTGACTTTGACCAAATACCAAAACTAAATGTTTTATCATAAAAATAAATATTTTTAAAATATAATTATTTCTTTCATCAATTCATATAAAGGCAGGTAACAGTCGTATTTTACTACCTATCAAATCATACCTTTAACAGTTTGAAGTACCATACATTTTTGGTTTGAAAAAAATGAATGTTGTAATATAATATAATATCGTAGAGAATAAAAGAATGTTTTTCTTATTTTGGTACAAGTTTTAAAATTGTTGTATACAATTGTTTGCTGCAGTCATATTTAATAATAAAAAATGTTACGTTCTCTTCCGGGATTGGGATTTTGTGAATGCATTTATTGGATTTTTATATTCCTGAGCCGTATGGAAATATTTGATCTTTTGTCGAACAAAATAAATACAAATCGTGACGTTAGAAAATAGAGAAAAATCAATTCCAGGTGGTAAATCTGAATTTTATAAAAATAAAAACATCTCCATGTTCTCATACTCAGTACAAATATGCGCCGGCAATTTATTTTTTGTATAAGTATGTAAAATATAAAATTTATTGATTGCTTTATGAAATATCTATAGAATATTGATACTTTACTAGAATTTTATGTGATTTTTACACCTATCTCTGTCACTATTTTTGTGATACCTATATTCAAAGGCACAATCAGGATTCATTTTCCTTGTGTGGTGAGTAGGGGTGGGGGTGTTATGCATTTGAAAAATGTTTCTCTTTGGATTTTATGAGTAAAATCTACTATAGTGTACGTCATATACGGTATACATACGTACCATTTGATGTTCGAAACTTCAATAGAAATTTCGCAACTTTGTTGTATCACATACGTACAATTCGTAAAAAATAGTCCCATATTTCGTTGGAGGGGATTACAACTCCCCTACACTCCTGAATAAGAACGTGTTAAATGAAAACAAAGTCCTAATTGCAATCAATGATAATGGTTAATATTATTAAAATAAAACTGTATGAATACTGGTTAAACCGAAAATGGTCTGTTAAATAGATGACGTTGTTGAATTTGGTTAAAATTAATATCGTCTACATTTTCATTAATACCCGAAACACGAGTTATTACATTTTAAGTTTTGTAATCCAAAAATACAAATGGCAAGGATAAAAACCTTTAAGATTAATATAGCGTTTTCACAATATTTATAAATTTAGTTGAAACGACAAATTTTAATTCAAACAATTTTTTAATATATAATTACCATATATAAATATATAAATATATAATATACAATATATAATTCAGTATAAATTACCTCCCATTAGATTGCTACTGCCTTCTACAGCTTAAATTGTATATTTAATTATAAAGAATGTACTTACCTATTTGAAATGATTCTTGACAGTCGGAAGGCACGATGTCTACAATTTCAAATTGTGGCATTCTTAATCCTTTAGCCATTAGTACGGGATCCGTATTTTTCCACTCCAATCGAAGTTCTTCAATAGTTTTTGAAACTAAAGTGATACACGTAAAAGTTATTTTGATAAATCAAATCATTACAATTGTATAAGATTAGAAACAATTTATTTAGTTTGCTAAAAAAATATTAATGTTATCAGGGACCAGGACAAGGGATAATTTAAATCAAATATTATACAATATGTATTTTTGGAACTGTAAGTAATAATAGTATGTATGTAAGTATTCAACCGTTTTGTATGCATGGATGTGGTGATTTAATCACTTGCATTTTTTGGCAACATTTTGAGAATTACATTATTCTTTTAAATTTGTCCGTTTTTAGGCCCTTTTTAAACAAACACCCATTAAATTATGATTTGTTCACAGATTTCTGGACTAGCATAAAATAAAATAGTCAATTGATAAGTTTTATTATAATGTATTATTAGTTTATTTTTTTTTCACAGTGCATATTTAATATAATGAAAATATGAACTTAAACTATAAAAAGTAAAAGTCTGTATTATAACTTGCATACATATAGATCTATATATTTTCATTTTTAAACATATGAAATTTACCATGTATGATTGGAAAGTACAATTTTAAATATTATTTTTTTAAAGTACTTATACGAATAATGTAAACATTATTTGTTTAATGTTTATAATATTATAATACTTCAGCGAAGTAACAATACATCGTAAGTCTAAAAAGCAGTGAAGTAGCTAGTATTTTTTTTCCTGTGTAGGCCTGAATACCTTTATATACATACAAATTTAGTGAAAAAATATCGATTAGCATACCTATATTATGCGACTATCTAATATCTATTCATTTTTTTTTAAATATAACTTTGCAGGTTTAGATTTTTTAAAATTGTGTTTGGGCCCGGGCATTTACATTCAAAGAAATACATAATGTGAATGTGGTAAAGATATAGAATTATAAAAACACAAGTCAATATTATCAATATAAAAATACTTGATGTTTCTGACAAAACATTGATAACTGCTTTTCATGGAATTAATTTTAAGTTTATGTTCTCTTTGGGAATAACGAGATATTATTAATAAAATATTCCAGGTTTTATTTCTGAAAAAGCTTATGTTTATATCACAAAATCACTTTTTTTACCTTATGAGGTATTACATTTCTTTATCAAAGAAATCTTATAATTGTTAAGTTTTTAGTAAAACTTGTAATTTTATTATATGAATTAAGTTCTGTGGCAATTATTAAAAGTTAAACATATTGTATGTAATATTATTAATTTTAATTAATGGCATTTAAGAATTGAAATATTAATCTTGCCTTTTAAAATATTTTACGGTTAACTTGTTTTACATGGTCGAACAGAAAAAATGCCTAGTAATAAATAATTACTCTTATTTATTTAACATTTAAAAAACTTCATTTCGTTTTTTGAAAGTATGTTAATACCTTATTTTATTTTTCGCACAGATAATTAATTATAATTGAATGGTGCTGTATAATGATGGGGAGAAAAATATGTATGAATGTGAATTTATGAAATACATTTTAAGTCCAATTATAATTATGTTGTAAACTATTTTCAGAGATAAAGAGCTGTTTTCCGACGTGGTTTATTGGTAATATATTTTAGGTTTAGTCAAAATTAATAAAATCACATTTCAAACTGCGTATATAGCGTTTAAAGGTTTATTAAGAAGAATGCCCTGTCCCTAGATATCTTTGCTTTGTTTGTCAACAGGATTAAACTAAACGTGTTATGTTGTTGGTTAGTGGTTTCTCCTACTAGGTTTTGAAATTAAATAGTTCACTAAAACTTAAACTTTGGTGTCTCTAGGATTAACTTATTAAGTTAGTACCTATCTTTGGTCATAAGTTTTATTTATGCATATAAACTGCTTGGATAACGTGTTGGACTAAACAGTTTTTCAAAAGTATCAACTTTGCGATTGTTCAACCATCTGCCAAATTATGATTAGCCATATAAAATATATTGTAATTGCTCATGGTTTAATACTTTAATGTAAGTTTATCTATGTTTATATTCAATATTATTCATGTATGCTGATTTTATTTTAACCAAAACCTTTGATTTTATTCGTACAGAAAAGTTAGTGATTTTTTTAAAAACTTTTTACATCATAATATTCTAATTTTTGTAATAATTATAATATTTTTGCTCACCACCTTTTTTTTTGTTTGGTTATAGAACTCATATCTATCATCTATTATCTTAGGGGATATTTTTTCGAAAACATTGATTGTTTTGATACAAAACTAATGGTGCATTAACTATAATAATTATTTAATGTACGGATTGGAGTAGAACGAAAGGAAATTCGTTTACAAAAGTACAAACATATATTATGGAATATGTTACTTTCTCTCTCTCTCTCTGTGTGTGTTACTCCAGTCTAATATTTAAATATTATAATTTATAATGGATTAGATCTAATGTAAAACCAATGTACAATATGAATATTTTTTAAAAACTATCTTTTCGAGAATTTAAAATTGCAATTACGTATTGGATGCTATATGTAAATTGAAAGTCAATAAGGTAGTTGAACAAAAAACAGTAAGACAGCGGGAACCAACAAATGGCAATCGTACACAAATATAATATAGAGTAGAAGTATATTGTTATTTACATATGTTAAAACGAATTGAATCATAACCAAACAATAACCACGAATATTTCTCGAGATAAGCCGGGTTTATTTTAAATCAACTTGTATACCCAGACTGAATATTCTACAATATATTGGACAGCATCTCGTGGGTGCTAATAAAATAGTTAACGAAATCCGACTTCAAAATGTTTTCGACTATCTATTATGGATATCATTTTCAGTTCTTCTGTTTTTCGGACACTACAAACATAATATACCTAACTAGATGCGATGCAATTTTAAAATTATGAATATTTACTTTATCCAACTTCAACTCTTAATTTGTAGAAATATATCCATATATGACCATATTGAGCAATATGACCTGCAGGTCTAAATGTATGTGTATGTTTCAGAGGTTGTTTGGAAAATCGTTAAGTTAATAAATCCAATTATTTACTAAATTTGGATGTTTAAGTACCTATATTATGAAGATACTTATACAGCGTTGAACTTCTTATTTTCCTAGAACGTTGAGTAAAACTGATTGAAAATACCAAAGTTAAATAGTTAGAATAAAAGTTATAAAAGAAAAACGAGTTTATTTTGAAAAAATATGGGATAGTTTCCTTAAATTTAAATTCCAATATGCAATCAAAATTTAAACTACAGAAACCAAAAAAATAATCTGACGGCATCAGTGTTTTTTCAACGTTAAAATAAATTGTATCTTTTTAAGCTCGAAATGAAAAAAACAAAATGTAAAATATAAAATAGTTTTCTGGCGTAGAATGATTTCCGATAACACTAAATAAAAACAAAATTGTAAATAGAACCTATTGGAAAAGTCGCTTAAAAAAATATCGTTTAGTTAACAAGGTTAGCCCTCATTTTCCTCTTTTTATATTATGAATACCTTCGTAATTTTAATTTATTATCATACCTATTAAGTATATTATATTGCACTCAGTTTTATTTTTGTGTTACAATATATTAAAACATAATATCTATAATATTCAAAGATTGGAAATAAAAAAATTAACTTGAGTGAGTCAAGTTAAGACAAAACGTCAAGTTATGAGTTAATTAATTACCTAATAAACAATATATATTTTTAAATCTGAAAGTTTAAAGTTAGTAAGGATAAAAAATTGAAAAGAATTGCATTTATTTTTTTTTGCTTGTATCACATATTAGTGTGATAGTACAACTTTAATTTTTTTTTAAATAATACCTATGTCAATATTTTGTTATAGACACATAATACTATTTCTTACTATTGCACACTATAGCTGTGATTTATTCAATTACAGATTTGTGTCAACTAACTTATTAAAACATGGGATATTTATCTGTTTATTTTTATTTAAAATCATTGTATTCAGCGTGACTATTGAGTAATAATAATAATAATAAAAATTTAATTATTAGTTATAACTGATAACTATATGTTAAAATAAATAAAAATTGTTTTAAGTAAACTTATTATTTTTAAATCAACTAGAAATGGCTAAATTATAACAGATAATACTTCAACTTGTGAAATTATTAATTTAGTTAGAAAATATATATTTACTAGTTAAGTTGAAAAGTTTAAGAAAGTTAACTTTAACTTATCTTTGATAATTCATAACCCATTCGATGTTATGGAGCATAATATTATTTTATTTTATTATTTGTTTATAGTTATCTCGTGAACCATTTTTTATATCGTGCTTGGGATTCTTATTGGTGTTTCAATAAGTTTTATAATTATTTAATTCTTAAATACTATTAACTAAATTCCTACAGACATTTCATCCCTCGTTATTATGTTATATAATCATATTTACACATAGCACATGTCCACTGTTTTTTCCATCATTCTTATGATTTATTTCGATATTATTTTCATCACTATGTATCTAGCATTACAGCTACACTTTCTAGTTTCTTTATTCAATTTTTTGCAGCTATATAATAATTATGTATCATGAGTATTCTCACTATAAGATAGTATGATACCTACAAGTGTATTTTTTTTTAATTTAGGTAAATTTTCCTTCAAAATAATATTACAAAAATAACTCTCTCTATCAGGAACCTAATCTAAAACAAATAAAATAATTGTGTAAACACATTGAAATTATGACGGAAATATACTTAAAAATTCAATTTTTTTTTTAAAATTGTTATGTGTTAAATTTTAAGAGAGGGGTTACATTTTAAAAAACCTTATTTTTTTATAAAACAACCATCCAGATGTTTCATTAAAATACTGCAATGAAACTCACAACTGGCCACTTCCATCGTGCAAATTTGGTTATCCAATGGAAATTTAGACAGGTCCATCATACATGAAAATGTCAACTTCAATCTGAAAAAAAAATACATATAGGTATACTATTAATGTTGTTGGTACTGTAGTTTTTACTACAATTTAAAACTATGCTGAATGGTGAAATCAAAGGAATATCGTTGATAATAAAGTATTGTTCTTCAAGGCGTATACATTGTAGTATATCTATTTTAAAAACTTGAATCTGTATCGGCAGTACCCATAGACACGATGTATCACTTTATGTTCAGAGCTCCCGCAAGTGATAAACTTTTTTTAAAAATTAATCGTTGAAAAGTTATACTATCAAATTCAAATACGGTTTTGATTTCGTTAAACGTTTTCAAATGCATAAAATAAGAAATATAAAAATAATTTTATCGATGTGATTTGAAATACGAGTTATTATACTTATTGTGGTATATTTTCAGTCGATAATATAAATTAATGCATCATACTAAACGGTACGTTTTATTTACTGCTATTCGCTACTGGTTTTCATTGATGGATTACATTACATTAATTTCTGCGTTTTAAATACATATAATTATAATCTATAACCATAACCTTATTTGTGCTCAGCTTGTTTTTTCTGTTTAAAAAGAAAAACGTAGACTAAAATTATACATTTTATTTTTCATTTACTATAGACCGCAATTTACCAACGTTCTGTAATAGCCTGAAAACATTTAGGGCATTTAAATATGTTTTTAGAGTGTATATTCATTTTTTAAATTACTATTTACTTTCTGCTGGTTCCCCATTTTTCCTTCCTACTACTATGAACTAACCTCAACAAACGTTGCCATATTTTTCCATTTCCTACTTTGCGTAGTATAATATAATAATATACAAACATTTTGATAAATTGATGATTAAATATTTATGGCTGATGTAGAATGGCCAGTAGAAATTCAATTAAATCGTATTCGTAATATATGCGTCTTATTGACATAGAATCGTTATAATTTAATAGTAATTAAAATGCGCATTAGTGATGCAATTATAATACTATGCAGTAAATAATTATTTTCAAATATTAAAACTGTACAGAGATACTATTATGATATTATATTATTATATAATTCGTGAGTAGATAATAGTATGATTTATATTATATTTTGATGGAAATCCGTTATATTTAATTTTTTACAATATTTTTTTCAAAAAAAAATAAAAAAAATATTGTATCAATAATCAATAACTATAAATAATTACATTAAAAGTGTACATTTGTATTCGTTAGTCGTCAGGTCGTCTCCATGTAACATAATTTTAAGTGCACGCGTTGGTGCTGCATGGAAAGAATACAACGAATGAAGAGCCAAAAATAATCTAATTGGTAAAGTCGTGGGGATGTGAACACTTTGAAGGAACCGGTCAATTTAGAGAAAGTTATTAGGAAATTATTTTCTACTAAAATTTAAGGTGAAGCTGGAATAACAGGCGGAATAACGGGCGGAATACTTAAAGTCCACAAGGACTGCACAAACCTATGTAATAGTACATATTTAAAATATAATTATTATAATTATTTATATTAGTCGAAGAGGGACTCAGTAATACATTCGTCGTACGTCAGAACCGTGAAGAGGTCAATAGAGACAGCACAGAATATTTTCAAGAATCCAACTATCACTTATCCATCCATCTCAAAAGTAATTATATTTATATAATAAATATTATAAAAAAAGTGGTAGTGGTCGCGACACCATAATAATATAGAGGACTAGCTGGATCGCCAGACAATACGTTTTGAGTATAAAATTATCCACGTATTATCTTACCCATAGTAAGTGCTATATAGTCTACTAAATACTAAACAATAAATTCAATTGAACGATTGTAATTTCAATTTGGAACTTTTGTCACATTTCCGAAAACCAACCAGATTCTAAATTCAATTTTTAAAACAATTAGAAGATTATATTATGTATCTGAATTTGAATGGCAGTTTCGTTGAGAATTTTGTCAAATTAATGTGAGTCGTTTTGTCTTATATAGATAATATATATATCCCTATAATAAGCTACCAATCGTGTATTTTTTTTTTGCGAATGAAATTTAAAGAACAATACGCCATTTTAATTCAAATGCTTTTCCACTGTTTTATTTTCTCGATACCACATGGCAAATTCAAAACGAAAATAATAAATAATAAGATCGCCTCTTTCTTCTTATCTTTTTTTTTTTGGAATTATATTTACCAATTTGGATTCGTACACACACACACACACACACACACACACACACACACACACACACACACACACACACACACACACACACACACACACACACACACGGTTCACGGCAGTGGCGTAATTAGGATTAGGTCGTTGGAGGGACGTTCATAATTTATTATGTTATAAGAGCACTTTTATACTATTTTCGAAACTTTTCAAACCGGGTATTAAAATTGTGTGCTGTACAACACACATTGTTCATTACGAAATGTTGAACGTGTAGAACGAAATTAAAAAGTGGGCAGTGGTCAGTACTCAGTAATGATGACTGCATTATTATGAAAATTCGATGGTTTTAAAATCTAAAATTATTAAGATTTTAATTTAATTACCGTGAAAATATATCAAAATACTAATTACAGTATGAAGTTAATAGGACATCAAACCTTCATGACGTGTTGTCTGCGTTTTACAAACAAACAACAAAAAATTGAAAATTCCATAGTGAATTGGTCGTTTGGCAGAAACAATTTTGTGTTAGGGTTAGCTTTAATATTAGATGGAGTATTATTGCCATATTATATACACTTAGATACCTACGAATATTATCTGTGTTTGCACGTCGGGTTTTTATGGTATTTAAAATATGTTCAAGAGAGTGATGGGTAAATAATATTTTATATTTCAACCGTAAATGTTTGATGGTCATCGAAATAAGACATCTATACCTCCTAGCTGTGCTGTTATAGATCCAAGCAGTCCAAACCATCAGACTGATATTTGGTTTACCCCAACTTAACATCTGGTTCAATCTTAGCTCATATGTCAATGAAAATTTGAGCAGGAAGGAGAAAACCACGGAGGTTTTTCATAGATTTTGTAAATATAGGAATAATGCTATGGAGCAGTGTTTTCCAAAGGGTTAGGTTATAGTTTTAGGAAACCCAATTTGTTTTTAATAGAGTATAGCTTAACACAGTTTGAACGTTATTGTTTCGTACAATAGAATAAAAATATGTTCGTTATTGAAAGACAAATAATATAATATAAGTATAATATTACTAGATAATAATATAAAGATTTTGATTAAGGTATGTGTTTCGTAGTACTCATAAGAACTTATTTTAGGCAAATAGACTATGTTTATCCAAAGCGTGACTTGATTTATAATAATTAATAACTAATTATAACGTGCTTTGATGGAAAACAATTTTGGGGATTACTCGAACTATAAAACAATCGTCAAGACACACGTCCTGTGTTGGGAAAAGATTTCCAGTGCTGATGGTTTCGATTTCGGTCATTCGATAGTACAAAATATTCTATCAAAAACAATAAATTATTTTTCATTTGAAAGTTTAAAAATAAAAATGACCAAAGCCCGGGGGCGGGGAGAGGCCCGAATCTGACACCCTGACCCTTAGGAGTCAACTCTCCTCCCCAGCCACGATAACCTCATCAATTGACATAGAAAATACAAAACCGTTGTATTTCCGGTAAAAACGAAAACACGAGATCGCGAGTACATATTACAATATATTTGATTAGATTTTGCGTCATCGACTGCGTTCCCACGTGCCTGAAGTTTCATAACCATTGGCCTGGCTCCTATCTGAGACCGATTCGCGTTTAGACGAGTTGATGGAACTTCCCAGGAGGACGTGCTCTGCGGTCGGCTTATATACTATACCTACTCGGCACAAAATTACAAAGTAATAATAATAATAATAATAATATATCCAAGTGAGTGCTTGCTTTGGCGGGGTGGTAAACCACACAAAGTCAATTACTGAGAACCCGCACTGGCGATACGCATCTGCTCACTATACCTACAACTAGAATATAATAGTGTGTAATGCACTTCATCGTCATGAGATGGTATATTATTATATGATATTATTATTACGTTTATACTACGTTTGGAAATGTACCTGCAGGACGTGGGGTGCATACATACTGCAAATGTTTGCGCTCTTTGAATAATGAAAATTGTATTTGGTATGGTGTAGTTGGATACTTGGATCGGGGATAACGTATAACGGAGGATGGGCAATATATAGCTATAGTTCGGTTGTACATCCAAAGTCTACAAAAACTCTCTATTGCACGGGATTATTATGTAATATCACTATCACGAATGCGCTTATGAGCCGATTTCTATCGGGGGTGTCGTCCTCGAGGATGAAAAGAGGGAGGGAGGATTAACAGCCACATGGGTAGTTGACACACATCCACGCCTATCCCTGTGATTTTTCATTAACGAAATGCGTAGGAAAACGCACCTCGTCGTATTAATTCTATGATAGGTACTCTTGAAATGTATTGTCGGAGAACGCTCGTCATCGCGATATCGTCATATTATTTGAAAACTACAGCTGACGATACTTAGGTAAGTACCTGAATTCTAAACTTTAAATATTCATAAATTCATGATGTGTAGACATATAGATTTGGTGTACACATTTTATATTTTATAAAATATATTTATTATACGTGTGTTGACTTATAAGTGATCGGTTTTATCAAAACTTTACTTTTATTTACTCGTAAGACAAAAACTTAATTAAGGGACCTAATATGAGACAATTCCGATTGACTGCGGTTGCCACGAACAAGCGTTCACAAAAATATCCAGTTTGTTTTAGCTAGAATAATTGATCAGTTTGCTAGGAGTAAAAAAAAAAATATTGTATGGTTTAATATTGATGAGGTGTATTAACAATGTTATTTTCTAGTTACGATTATACCAAACATTTTAAGTTATCAATTTAATTATTTTTGCTATGTAAATTAAACAAATACTCAAGTTTTATACTTCATAAATAATATTGCAGTATATACTGCAAGTGAAAC